ATCACATTTTACAAGTTGGCCATGCCCACCCAGTCACATGACTGCCAAGCCACTCCCACCCAGTCACATGGCTGGCAAGCCACTCCCACCCGGTCGCATGGCCGGCAAGCTACTTCCACCCAGTCACATGGCTGGCAAGCCACTCCCACAAAGCAGGCCACACCTATAGAAGAGGTTCTAAAAAAATTTGAAACCCACCACTGATTCAAAGACAGCTAGGAGCAGCTTCTGAAGCAGAGACGCAAGTGTGTTATCATGTGTAAATGATTACCTCAAGATTCATTAGAACAGTTTTTAAATTTGAGCATATTTTCTTTCCAAAACTGTTAACATGGAATTAAAGCGATTAAAAGGGCTAAAAAGAATTTTCAAACTATTAAACTGTCAAACTGTAACTTCTTAAACCTGCATAGTTCTTTATATAGAAATGCTATTGAATGATATGAATCTTATCTGCTTGTAACTGATGATACAGTAGTAGTATTCTATAAATACCCTTGTCCATTTTTGTTATTTGGGGAAGATACATACAGGTAAATTTTCATATTAAATATATATGGAACTATAGATTTTTACAGTTGTATTTTTGTTGTACTTTTCTTTTGATAAACTGATTTTTAGTTGGAAACTGTCCAGAGATATTTGGAAGCCAGGCACTCTATACATAAAGTAAAATGAAATATAAAATATTTCTTTTCAGACTGGTACAGAGGATTTGCCTTAAAAAATCCAAAGCTCAAGGTAAATTAATTTTTGTTTCTAAATTAAAATGTGTGTGAAAACTTGAGGTATTCATATAAAAGTAAAAGTACATAGTTTCTTGAGCAGTCATACAACATGTATGCCAAGTGGGAATAATGTTTAAGTCTGGAATAATTACTTGACAAGAGCTAAAGGTAAACTATAGTTCGCTATGGACTATGCTAAGATGCACTAAGAAAAACATAACTCTGCATGTGTCTCTCAACTCCATTGTTGCAATACTTAGAAAACATGCACCCCAGGATCCTGTTGGATTTTAGCCGTGAATGCTTAATTTTGTAGTGTAATTTTTAATGTTGTCTGTGCTTTACAAAATAAAGCTCAAGTAAGGCTAAGTCAATAAGTCTTAAAGTACATACTTCGAATAATCTACCTTCCCTACTCAAAGTAGAAACTGTCATCCTTTTTACTATTGGTAAGGTCACTATACCTCCATCACTCCCTTGCTTGGAAGTCTGATTTTATAAAGTTCGGGTCTCCAGTCTCAATTGTCTGACTAGTGAACCCAAAATAAGGAAACACTCTTAGGAGCTTTGAATTCCCCAAAGCAAACCTTTATTGGATACACCATTTCGGTACTGAATAATCAAAACCAACTCTGGTTTTCCCGTGCAAATGTTGCTTAGTTAAACAATAACTTCTCTTTCTCCCCACCACTGGGTGATCACATTGTCCAATTATGAGACACCATTTTGTTCCAGGAACAGTCCATTTCTTTCTCAAACACCTGCAGTGATGACCTTGATGGTTGCCAGACTCTTACAGTCCAAGACCCATCTTTCTTTTCTTTGAAGAGCACTGGGGCTGCCATCCTAGATTTTGCTGGTTGGGTAAAGACACTAGCTAGATTTTTATCCATGAAGCTTCTGAGTTCCTCCATCTCTGTTGAGGACATTGAGTACATCTTTCCTTTGGGTAATTTTGCCCCAGGCAGTATTTCAATAGAACACTCAGTGGAGTGATGGGGAGGGAATATATATGACACCCGTTTGCGAAATGGTTCAGCTAGGTCCTGGTACTCTTTTGGGATGGCCATCCCCTTTTGGCCACTCTAAGCTAGTGCATTCATGGGTTTTACCTTTCCCATCCCCACCAATGGTGTTTTGCCACCTTTGTGTGTTATCCCCACACATTGCAATCCACCTCCTTTACTTCTCAAGTGTCATCTGTTGTCCTTCTAGTCGACTACTGGATTCCCTTTCTTGAGCCACACCAACCCCAATATAGTCTCTGCCATTTGGGGGACTATTATAAATTGAATAGTCTCCTCGTGGCTTCAGGATTACTGGCTCGGTTAGGCATGTAGCAGGCAAACCCACCCCCCCCCCCAGTGAGGGAGCCATCAACTTGTTCAAACTTCAAAGGCTGCTTCAATTTTTTAAGTCTCAGTCCCATCTTTTCCACCATCCATTGGCTAACCAAGAAGCGGGTGTAACCTGAGTCAACCAGGGCAGTGAAGACCGCTCTTGCTCTTGAGTGGGGCACTAACATCTCCAACTGGGAGGTCAAAGGGATGATGGTTCCACTTACCATCAGATAGTCGTCCCTCTTGCTGTCACTCTCGTAGAAGACCAGATTGGGCTTGTTGGTTTCCGGATTCCATCCCCTTTGCTGGAGGAAGAAGAGACCTCCACAACTTGTTTCATCACCTGTGTTTTCTCCTTCACCTTTCTTGGTGCCTTCATGGCCTTGGTTGACTCGGAACCTTTGGTGCTGACATGGGCTGGGCCATTGGCAGCCCAAAGGCCCTCTTCTCCACATCGGAATCAGGCTTCAGGAGGGCACCATAGATTCTCCTTTGGGGTTGAGCGAGGGATTGTCAGATCCTTGTGCACTGACAGTCATCTCTCTTAGCTTCGTTGGGGATGACCTTGGTGCTGTGTGTTGCTGGTACTCCAACAGGTCTAGCTCCACTGTGGTCGCCAACTGGTACCATGCCCTGAGGTCCGGAATTGTCCGGGGCAGGCAGTTTTGGTACAGTTGCTTGTTTAATCTGTCTTGGAAGTGGTAGACCAGCAAGCATTCTGATTAGCTTCTCAGCTTCTCAGCCAGGCTGCAGAACTCCTGAATGTATTCACTTACAGGCCTACTCTCTTGCCTTACGGCACAGATCCTGGATTCCATTCAGAGGGCTTGTGCAGGATCTCCAAATCTAGCTTGAAGCTCATCGAAGAAGGCATCCACATCCCCCCAACTCCAGGGCCCCTTCTTTGTGGAGGAACACCACCCAGTCTGCCTTCTCTCCTTCTAGTTTCAAAGTAATTGTATTCAAACAGGGAACTTCGTCTGGAAACATTGCTCCATATCTCTCCAAGTAGTTTCACATCTGGTTCAGGAAATAGGCTTAACTTCTCTGGCCATCCAATAAACAGGACTTTCAGAGATGTGGGTTCTCAGTCATCCTGAACTTGGTTAGCCCCACTTTAGCAGGCTGTGCTCCTGCTGTTGCAGGGAATCTCCTGGGCTTGTCCCACAGCCATGGGAAGGATGGCAATCCCCCTGGGGGATCCCAGCTCCTTGTCCCATGCTCCCCAGCCTCATCAGTTAGGATAGAGATGGGGTTGCTGACACTTGACCAGTCCCAAGTCCTGCTCCCAGGACTGACTATTTCATCAATGCCGCTGCTCTGCATCTCCATTCTGACAGATCTTTCATATAGCTGCTTCGCTGAAGGGCTATAGTATGCTCCATTGGTTCTTCCCAATCTCTGCAGCTCTCCTGGCCTTCCATTTGCTTCCTTGAGTCATGGCCACTCCAGGTAGGATCAAGGGGAATTCTGCTTTGGCTGCCTTCCCCACTCTGCTCGGCCATAACGTCTTTGGGTCAAGGCAAATGGATCCTGCCACGGTTCCTTCATCATGCACCAGTGGCTGCTCAGTCTTCTCTGCCCTCACCTTGGATCAGGTTACCATTATCTGTGTCCTGGAGCTAGCTTGGGCTGCTGCTGGTGCCTCCCATGGAATGACTGATTCAGGCTTCACTGCAGCAACAACTTTCCACTCTATCCTAGGCATCATTAGATCGCAGCTCTCTTGGAGGCATCCTAGTAGGCTGTGTTAAGTTAAAGAGAGCTAGTTTAATGTCAACTGTCTGTCAACTGTCCAATTAGTGAACCCAAAACAAGGAAACACTCTCAGGAGAATTGAATTCCCAAAAGTAAAACTTTATTGGATACGCCATGTTGGTACTGAAGAAACAAAACCAGCTCTGGTTTTCTGCATAAATGTTTGCCCTGGTTAAACAACAATTTCTCCTTCTCCCCACCCCTGGTTGATCACATTGTCCAATTATGAGATGATCTTTTGTTATGAGAAGGGTCCGTCTTTTTCTCTAGCACCTGCAGTGGTGACCTTGCTGGCTCTATAATCTCACAATCTCTGCATACCTTCTCCACATTCCATTTTGAATTCCCAAAAGTAAAACTTTATAGGATACACCATTTTGGTACTGAAGAATCAAAACCAACTCTGGTTTTCCTGCGCAAATGCTCACTTAGTTAAACAATAATTTCCCAATAATTCCCAATAATTTCCATGCATACATTCTCAGCATTCTATTTCCCTCTTCCCTCCTCCCAGTTCATTGTCAAGTTGAAAAGCATTAGGGTTTGAAAGAAGTGGTTCAATCTTGACACTCATCTGTTATCTAGCCTTAAGTTAAAGAGGGGTTGGTGATATACCCTAAAATGGATGTCATAGCACTCAAGGTATCGCTAAAAGAGCCCACTCAACTTTTAAAGTTTTTTTAAATGGGTGAAATAAGATTATAATCAAACCTCACATCTTAGGAGACAAGTCCACTAAAGTTTAGAGAGTGGAATTTAAGCAACCCTCTAGGTATAACTCCAGCAACACAATAACAGTATAATAGACTTAAATATTGAGTGAGGTGATATGGCATCAGCTATTGCAGATGTTATCTCTAGGGAGCGGGGAGAGGGGAAGGGATGAAAAGTGCTAAGCATTGGGAGTGTAGAAAAATTATCTTATTGCAGTAAATAGTTGCAAGGCGTTTGGGATAGCATATTACAAATAGCTATGAGAAAAAGCTTTCAAAACCAAAAACTATTCCAGAGAGATTCTAGATTTTTTTTTCAGCTTTATGAGCTTAAGTTGCAAATGCGAATGTCAGTCTCTGCTTCACTTACTTACTATCGGCTGCCATAAGAAACGGGCAGGGTGGGGGCATGGTGTTTGGGATGGGAATAAATGGTACAGGAGTGAATGGAAAAGGGAGTTTTCTTCTCACCATCTTCTGCGCATGCTGGTGGCCGGTGTTTGGACTT